GTGCTGCTTCCCCTCTCACAAGAGTCACCTAAGAGGGGAATTTCCCCCATTTTCAAAAATGAAATTCAGGCCCTGAATAAATATCTAAAAATCCTGATTGATGTATCACTATAAATAGTTATAAATTATAAAAAGAAGGCTTTAAAAAGATCGGTATCGGTGATCGGTATCGGCAGATACTGCTTTCGGTGATCAGCTTCAAAAATCATGATCGGAGCACCCCTAATAAATTTCTTGTTGTATTATTACCAAATATTTAATTTATTCTTCATGTCAACTTGTTTCTTGAAATTAGCATAGGTTTGTGTTTCTTTTTGGAACATTGCCAAAATTATCCACAAATAATGCTTTTTCACTCAAAAACTGACATGCATAAGCTCAGATCAATGAGGCCTATGATCAATCTGTTGAAAAAGGAAATAAATAACCTGTGCTGATTGAAAGAAAACAAGCTGACCAAAAGAATGAATCCAAGATTTGGTGATTAATGTAGCATAATGAGGGATTTATAAGACATTTTTAAAAGGTCGGTCATTTTTGACCTGGAACACCAAATTAGGTAAAGGATTTTCAGAACTGCACAATAATTTTTAAGTAGGCACAATTATAATATAATTGGCTGTACAAGTCATTTCATTGAGTTAGAGTAATGGAAAAACTTATGTTGCCATTTTCCAGAAACTTCTAGCTTGAATTTCTATTGAAAATCATAGACTTCAGTTTTTTGTGTTCCTTTTGTTCCCAGACCTGAAATAACCTTGCCCTCTCAGACAAACACTAGTTACCCTTTTTTATCGCAAATGCCAGTAACGACCAGTGTCAATCACCTCTGGTCAATGCTGACTCAACCAGCCTGTAAAGAAATCCTCATCCAGCCTGTAACACCTGTAAAGGCTTGCTGTTGCCATGGAAAATCATAATTGTGATGTAGCTATCACTTGATGTTTCACAGAATGTCGAGCCTATACCACAGCGACGGCTATTGATCTCCAGCTTGTTGACCAGTAGTCGTGGGGTAAGTGTTGAGAATATCTCCTCGCATGACGGTAACTGATTTGGACCAGTTTGAATCTGAAAGCAGATGGAATGTATTTATTAGTTTACATTAGCATTAGTTGTGCTAATCAGCTGCTGTGCGCTTGACTACTGGATGCTTTATTGACCATTATAAATCGAATTATGGCAATCAACAGCTGATGACAGGAGAAATATTGAGTTGGTCTTTTTGCCATTAGTTTATTCATCCAGTGCAATGCAAATCCTCTGTTGTATGTAAGTGAATGGAATACTACTTTTACTATTTCAGCAGTATACTAGTATGCAAATTTCTTTGTATGCATTTACATACTACAGATTCCAAAATGTGCAGTATGCAACAAAACACACTGTATGGAATACTGCTCAACTCTACTTTCCATTTCTAGCACGACGAATGAGCCAGAATTAGTATCATCTTCAATGCATCTGCTTTATTTGATTAGCTGTAATAACAAGTGTT